TTTTTTACAATTATGATGGGTCAAATTGTCTAACAATTACTTTGCTTCATACAAGAATTTACAGCAAACTAATTATGTTGATTGTGGCTTTGGGAATTTTATTTTGCTTTGTACCAACTCCCAATAATCTTGATGAGAAAAAGGTGATTGGTGCATTTTTACTTCATTGCTCTAAATTGCTATACACAAAGAGATAAGTGACATTGATGATTCTCATCCAAAGTTTGAATCAAAGGATATAACTTTTGACCCTTTGTGGTTTAAGAAAGGGACAAATTATTATTGAGACACACATGTTCTTGTGAGATTTGATATGCTTTGAAAAGATAATTATTATATTTATTGTAGACATTTATAAAATTAATATAATAAATGTGAAATTGACCCCCTATCAGACATAGAGTTGAAAATATTGACACGTTCGCATACTATGAAAATATGGTAGATCCATCTGGGGTTTTCTCAAAAGGCATAATGAATATATCATTAATTATAATTTGGAGGGACCATATAAAACTTGTGCCTCAGATGTCCAAATGCACAATTTGGCTTTGTTTAATGGTAAAACCAAAAACAACACGGTTCTATTCCTCTATGTTTTATCCATCATTTTTGTTTCCTTTCACAGGTGAATTTGATACTGACCACTAGAAAATGCATACATTTAAAACTAAAATAAGTTATTTCTCTCTCAAAATTACAAATACTTGCAGTAGTTATTATTATTATTATTATTATTATTATTATTATTATTATTATTATTATTATTATTAAACCTAAGGATAGTTTTATAGGGCTTGTCACAAAAATATCCTTCATGTTTGACCCATTTGCAACAAATCTCACCTAACTTACAAAATCTCATACATTTACCCCTTCATAGTAAAAAAATATTCCAAAACCCTTTGCATGTGGAAACTAAGGGGGTGTATTTGTTTGAAATTTCGTGTGACATTTTGAGACTTTTTGAGATTTGAGATTTTTTAATATTTTTAGATTTTTTAGGAATCCTGTGAAATCTTAAGTCTAGCAGTGGGATTTGAAGTGGAATTTCGTATATATTTTTCTTTCTTTAGAAATCTCGGCAAATCTCACAAAATCAAAAAGTTTTAATAAATCATAGTCTCAAATAAGTTAAATATTTCAAGATTTTGTAAGACTTTTCTAACTCCCAAATGAATACCTCAAGACTTTTAAAAGTCTTAAAAAGTCTAAACTAAATACATCAGAATTTCTGAATTCTTAAAAATTCTTTGAAAATTCCAAATGAATACACCCTACATTAGCCTTATTAGCCTCTTACCAATGGCACTGGATTAAGCCATAGGGGTGTTAACCTATATGCCTTTAATTAAATTTCTGAAATTATATATTTTCTCATTGACCCTAGTAACAATTCAATTTATGTGGAACTAATTATAGTCTTATACATGTCAAATTATACTAGAGTTGACATTAACCATTAGAGACAAAATTTTCTAATTTTCTTTCTCCATGTTATACATCTCCAAATAGATGATACACCATTGTAGATGCTCTGTGTATGCCTTTAATTAATTTCCAGGCGCTTTCTGAAATTATATATTTTCTTATTGACCCTAATTGTTGTTGGAAAATCGTGTAGCACCGGAGGAACTCCAACCATCGGCACACCAACCGCCGGGGGAACTCCGGCCACCGGAACTCCGGTTTCCGGTGGAACTCCGACCACCGGAACACCGATCTCCGGCGGGACTCCAACCTTTGGAACTCCGCCCACCGGAGGAACTCCGGCCACCGGAGGAAGTCCAAACATGGGCGGCACCACAATCCCGGGCTCAACCGCAAGTCCCGGTTTTGGACTCGGGCCAACCACCTCAAGTGGATTCCCAAGCCCGGACATTAACAATGGCGCAAAACTACTGTCTGAAAGCCGATCCTTCACGCTCGTCTCAATTTTTGTGGTCTTGATTTCTAGTTTCATTTGCTTAAGGATGTGAGGGAAAGCTGAAATGTTTGATCTTTTGATGAACATTGAGTTTGGTATATTATGGTAGGATCTTAAGTGGGATTATATTCCCAAATGGCCCTATATATCTCTGTTTCTTTATTTAAACTTCTGTTCTGGGGGAAAGAAAAAGAAGAAAAAGGAAGTTGAAAAAAGGGAATTTGATTCCCTTGTGAGTGGAAGTGGAGATGTTTTGGGCTGTTTATGGGGTTACAAGAATCTGTTCTCTGCTGTTTAGATTTTTCCTATGTATATCTAGATAGGGAGAGACAGTAATAATATGTTACTGTTTTTATGTTAATGTTCATTTTCCCCTTTTAAACCTCGAGTTGAGATGAGATTTTCACATCTTTAAGTTTGGAAATTTAAGATTTCAGTTAATATTATTAGATCTGGGTAAAAAAAATACATGGGAATCCTATGAACTGATATGTATTTTTCAGTTCTTACAAATAATCTAAAAATAGAAAATTACAATTGAACTGAAAAATAAATTACAACTGAAAAATAAATTAAAATAGAAAGATTTTAGTCGAGGCGAGTAAAACTCTTTCCGCAAGAAGAATACGTCCCGTGTGGCAGCTAACGGTTCAGGCGTAATTTCCTTAAAGATACAACGACAAACGTCTCTAAATCTGTAGCACACCAGATTTACGAGCTCCGGTGAACTGGAACGAAGTCGAGAATTGAGCACTTAAAAATAGGGATATAATATCACTCTTTTGTTATTTTGATAACAAATAAATATTTCTATATTTTTCTCTCGAATATTTTTGTCCCTCTAAAATAATTTCTATATCTCTATTCTTTCTTTTCTCTCCCTTTTCTCTTATTTCTCTGAGTTTTTCTCCGTGTACTTCTTCTCAGCAAAATGAACATATTTATAGGGGAGAGAGAGCAGATAAAGCCTGGAGAGATAGCTGATAAAGCTGGCCAATCAATTAGTAAGGCAAGTTGATGTCAGATGAACCTTCACGTGTATGAACTGCAAATTTGCCAATAATGGTGGAACCCATGATATTCATTATATTTTCATGCATTATGAGTGATATATTGTGATATTTGGCCCTGGTTATCGTGTGATTGTGCACCATTTCGTTTTATTTATTAAACTATGATAGATGTGTTTTTGTCGTTGTTTTGCAGGAAATATGCCCGGAAAAGCGTTGAAAATGGAATCGGGACGAAAAACGGCGGAAACGGGTACAGAAGAGGTCACACGACTCGTGTGGGCAGTGACACGGGTCGTGTGGGTTGAGAAAATAAGAAACACAGCTACGGCTTTTTCACACGGGTCGTGTGGGTTGAGACACGGGTCGTGTGGCCTCACACGACTCGTGTGACCTGGTCGTGTGACCAGTCGTGTGAGTCAGGAAGTTTGCCGAAACGTTGAGAAAAGTCACACGACTCGTGTGGCATGTGACACGACTCGTGTGACGCGCAGACTAGTTCAGCGGGGAATAGGATTCTTGTGCGATTTCTTCCTTTTTTCGACCCAGACTTGCCCTACAGTATAAAAGAGGCCTTAGGAACTCGTTTTTGGGACTTTTGACATCATTGGAGGCATAGAGAAAGCACGAAACACACGAGGGATTCGAGGAAGTCAAGATTGAAGATCCGAGAACTAACGGCGACAATAGTTCTTCTTTTCTTTTCTCTTTTTCTTCTTCATTGAACTCATGAATATATTTATTTTGAGTTTTGAGAATATGTTTAGTAGCTAAACCTTTTAGGGATTCTAGGATTTGCGAGTACTCGGATTATTTTATGAAGTGATTTTGTTTATTCATTCCGGTTTATCATTCGTTTATCAATTTCTTGTGCTTTTATTAATTGTGTGAATATATGGCCCGTATTTATGCATATTTGTGATTGACTTGAGACCGAGAGGAGATAGTTGATTGCTAGAATTGGAAAATTCATAACGTAAGAGACTAAACAGACCGAGAGGTTGATAGAATCTTGCGAGGGAACTAGAATCTTAGGAGCTTATGGGAGTTGATTGTTCATCTTGAGACCGAGAGGAGATAGATATCAATTAATATCTACGATTTAACTTGTTCGAGAGAAAGGTGTAAATTACTTTAGTGATTATCCCTACGAATGGTAGAATTAAATAAGGTTTGAATGAATAGGAAATCTTTGTTAGAATAATCCCGATGAAAGCATAGCCTAGAATCTATTTTCTCATTCTTGATTTATCTTAGAACAAGCCTTCATTAGTGTTAGAATTTATTTTGCAATCATTCATTAGTTTAGAATAAAATCACCATTCAAATTTGCATTAGACTGAATAATATTTAACCGTTTACATTTTGATACTTAGTTATTTTGACAACAATCTCTGTGGAATACGACCTTGCTCGCCACTCACTACAGCTATACCGTACACTTGCGGATAGTGAAAATATATTGCGATCAAGTTTTTGGCGCCGTTGCCGGGGATTATTTTGTTAAAATTAATTAATATTAGAAGAAGACGGGTAGATATTACTTTAGTCATTTTTATTTTTGTTCAATATTTTGGTTCCTAATTGCATCCTTTTTGGTTTGTGTGTTTTGACAGGTACTTGCATGATCACGAGGTCTAGTGGGAGTTCACCCGCAAAATTTAACCCCGAGATTGAAGCTAGTTGCCGAAGGAACAAGGCAAACCGGAGACTGCAACAACGACTGAGAGGTGCAATGGAGGAACAAGGTGAAGAGAGGTATAGACAGCTCCAAGAGCAACTGGCAGAGCTACAACGCCAGCTAGCTGAGCAGCAGGCTCAACAGGAGACAGGACCACCGGTCCGGAGCATCTTCCAACCTCAAGCTGACCAAGTATATGGAGGAGGTCACGGGCCGAGAATTGCTGCTAACACTTTTGAGTTGAGCCCGTCCTTGATTCGTATGGTTCAGCAAGAGCAGTTTGGGGGAGGTGCTATCGAGGACCCGAATGCGCACCTGGCGCAATTTCTGGAGATATGCAGTACTGTGAAGTACCATGGAGTCCCGGAGGATGCTATTCGCCTCCGCCTTTTCTCTTTCTCTCTTAGAGATAAGGCGAAGGTTTGGTACAATTCTCTGGAAACCGGGACAGTGACATCATGGGAGGAAATGCGTCAGAAATTTCTCTTGAAGTTCTTCCCACTGAGTAAGATGTTGAGACTTCAAACGGAGATCACTTAATTCAAGCAACAAGATAACGAGCCTTTATATGAGGCTTGGGAGCGCTACACGCAACTCCTTCGGACGTGCCCACAGCATGGTTTTTCGGAGGAGCACCAGATTTGCTACTTCTACAATGGATTGAGTGGCCCGATGAAGGCCATGGTGGATGCCTCAGCTGGAGGTGCTTTATTGGGAAGGCGACCAAATGACGCAAAGCGGATTCTTGAGGAGATGGCTTCGAATAGTTATCAATGGCCGGTTGAGAGAACTATGCTTAGGAGGGTCGCGGCGACTAATGAGACGGACTCAGCGTCATCTATTGCGGCTAATGTGGTGGCATTGTTGATGAATAACTTGCAAGGAGTAAAGACTGAGAGCGTAGGAGTTGGAGAACCGGTCGAGGACGTGAATTATGTGAATAATCAGAATTTTGGGAATTTTCGAGGGCCTCAAGCGGGCAACACTTATTACCAAGGCAACCGGAATCACCCCAATCTCTCCTATGCAAATCCGAATAATACTCTACAGCCACCCCCGGGATTTTCGGTGACCAATGGGGTCATCAACGAGCCAAAAGAGACACCAATCGAAGATGTGCTAGCCTCATTCATGACTAGCACACAATCATTTATGGATCAGACAAAACAATTACTGAGGGCGAATGACGCACGGATGGCGTCAATGGAGAATCGACTGAAGTCGGTGGAGCAGCAGATTGGCCAATTGGCAGCGGCAGTTGGGAATCAACATCAGAAAGGACAATTTCCGAGCAACACAGTGGTGAATCCGAAGGAGCAATGCAATGTCGTCCATGTTCAGGAGGAAAGGGATGAAGTTAAGAAGCCGCCGAATGGTAAAGTGAAAGAAGTCGAGCCCGCTATGATTGAAAAGGTCGAACGACGTTTTAAGGCGTACGAGATTGTGGCTATGACAGAGGAGAGTAGCGCGAGAATTCAAAAGAAGTTGCCCTTCAAATGCAAGGATCCTGGGAGCTTTACTATTGAGTGCTCTATTGGAGATTTCCATGTTGAGAAAGCGTTGTGCGACTTGGGAGCTAGTGTGAATGTGATGCCCTTATTGATGTTCGAGAAGTTGAAGTTGGGGATGGAGAAATTTAGGCCCACGACTATTGCACTCCAAATGGCGGATAGATCATTAGCCCATCCGAGAGGTATTTTAGAGGATATCATGGTTAAAGTCGGTGATTTCATATATCCGGCGGATTTTATTGTGCTCGACATGCTTGAATGATGATGTTCCGCTAATTTTGGGGCGGCCGTTTCTTGCTACCGGACGAGTATTGATAGACATTGAGCGCGAAGAGCTCACGTTCCGGGCGTTTGATGAGAGCGTTATACGTTTGTCATTGATCGAGGGCCAAAGAGAAAGAAAGTGAAAGATGAGGAGGGTCGGGCTCGGAATATGAAGAAGGAGTTGGTCGAGATGAATGGAAACGACCCGTTTTAAGAGCTCGGAAGACGTCTAGCTAAAGACGTTAAATTAAGCGCTTGTTGGGAGGCAACCCATCGTTTATCGCTTTTATTTTTTATTTTTTATTTTTTTTATTTTCGTTTTTTTATTTATTTTATTATTATTTTTTTTAAAAAAAATCTGGAAAAAGAAAAAAAAAGTGAAAAAAAATAAAAAAAAAAGGTGGTGATCGAGTGTTCGAGCGAAGCATGGAGGAGATAAGTTCGTGCTCAAGGGTGCAAGGATTGCTTACGGTGGAGCTCGCTCGACGTATCGGTTAGTTACTTGAGATTTACCACTTATTTTTCTTAAACTTCATTCTTTTCCAAAGAATAAGTTTGGGGGAGAAAAGTGTCGTATATCTTGAATTTTTATCGCTTTATTGCATATCATATATTTGCTTGCATTAGTTTTATTTTTTTTTTTTGATTTTTTTATGCTATTTTATTTTTTTTAGGATGCACGTTTACTTGCTTTAGTAGAATATAATAAGAATTTGCTTGAGTCGATTCCTTGTGTATTTCTTTTGCTTTGGCTGAATGATGGATAAAACTTGAATAGTGAATGGTTATTTGATGTGATTGAGGAATTGTGATGGGATTGTAAAAGTCATATCCAGATGAAAATGCTTGTGAGCCTTGAATTAGCGATATATTGAGCCTAGAGAGATTTGAGCCTTTATTCTTTGTCTGTGAGTGTCAATTGAATACCCGAGTTATTAGAATTTGCCTT